GGGGGAACTCACCTGTTAATATAAATGAATCAGGTAGGGAGGAAAAATCACATGTGAATATGTATGAATCATGTGGAAACATCATGTGAAAAATTCATTGTGTGGAAAAAAAAGTGTGAAAATAAATGAATCATGTGGGAACAAATCATGCATGAGTATAAATGAATGAAGTGTGATGCCCACTCACTTACAGTTTCTGTGTGTAAATAGATATAGCTGTAATTGAAATAAGCAAGCCCAGTAGGCCTACTCGAGCTTACTGAGCTTTAGCCATGAAAACCAGATATCTTCATTTTGCTGGTGTTTAAATCACATTTTCACACAAGCAAAACTGGAGTATTTTACTAATCCATCACTTTTACTGTTTAACACACAAAACAACTACATCACAACACAGATAAATGATAAAATATCAGCCTCGAGAGCAGCTAAAATGAGTTGTGAGAGTGTTTGACTTCTCTTACAGTGAACTGTTTGAGTGAAATAGGGCAACTGATACTGTTCACCACTTAATATTTGAATAAACAATTAAATGTCCTGTATGACAAAAAGAGACCGTGGGTTTGATTAAATTCACAGTCAAATTTGTTTTGTATATGAATGCTTAACTGGCATCATGATGGCACAGTGGGTAGGATTGCCACCTCACAGCTCCCTGGTTCAATCCTGAGCTGGGGTTAGTGTCTGTGTGGGGTTTTACATGTTCTTCCTGTGTGGTTTCCTCCAGGTTCCCCGGTTTCCTCCTACATCCCAAAAACATGTCGGTAGATGGATGGCTACTCTAAATTGTCCCTAGGTGTGAATGTGTGTGTGTGGTGCCCGCTATGGACTGGCATCCCATCCGGGGTGTATTCTCACCTTGTGTCCAGTGTACCCCGGATCCACCATGAACCTGACCAGGATAAACTGTTTACCAATTAATAACAAACTTCAGGAGATGCTGTTATAGGAAAATGATAAATGTTGAAGTTACCAAAAGTTGATTCTATTCCTATAGCAGCATGACCCAAAGGGTATTATTCCTCACTAACAATTTGCCAATGATTTTATATATATATATATATATATACATATATATATATATATATATATATATATATATATATATATATACA